CTGCTACTGAGTACGCCTAGGGCTTGAGTGCGACCTAAGATTCCGAACTGAGCGAACTGTGGACAGGAGGAGCGGTGCACCGAGACGCAGTGTTTCAGTCTGAACAGCTGCTCGAAAGGTGATACACCCGGGACTCGTGGCTGGGACTCGGAGGTGCCTGCAAGTTACGAGGACGACCACATTATAAACACGCATCCACTCCAGGTCATGATGATGCGGCCGCCCGCATTGAAAAGGCAACAAATGCGGTCAGTCCACAAGCGCCGATTATGATTAAATAGGCACTTGGCAGCCAACAGCGGTGACTCAGTACACAGCTACAGATACATAGCCGAATGCTAGAGCTCGCTACCAAGTTTTAGGCAGATAGGCCGCACGATCCGACATGATAGCGGCTTAGCAAAGTCGCTATTATGTTTAGTGGCCGAACGTGCAAAGCATCGTCACGAGAGCGTATTTTCGCGCGCTTGTTGGCGCAAGCACGAACACCTACGTTATGCGCTACCATGAATCAGTGACTCTCGTTGCCGTAGCGCACTTTTGCTCAGTCAACTGCATCAAGGGTGCCGGGTGTACTCCGTTCACTTCAACTTGCTTCGCGCGTCTTACAAATTTTAAGTATAAAAGAAGGCATGACGACCGTGAGTCCTCAACAAACATTCTTTCATACTAAGAACAAATTGTATGCTGGTGTGGCCGTATGCTTTTTGCCAGGCACAAGAAGCGGTGTTTGTTAATGAACTATGGGATCGTTTCATATTATCAGATTTTAACACTGCAGAGGGGTAAATCAAAGCCTTGTGCATGTCATGCTCGAACGACAGCGTCTAACATACATTTGTTATGAGGTTATAAGCACCAACGTGGGTGGCCGTATCATTATGACCCGGAGTGTGTCTGCCTACATGCATGAACATACGCATCGGTATAGACGCATCGACATGATAAAAAGTAGCTGTCTAGTTGCCACGTCGGTAGCGTGAAGACTTGAGCGCCTGACGTTGTCAATATGTGAAGGTAAACAAGAGAACGTGCACGGTTCCTTGTCGCAGCCAATGCGCTGTTATTTAATTACGATTTTGAGTTGTTTAGTTTGCGCACTAGCAGGCGGTCATTGAAACGGAGTGTGCCTGTTACATATGATTAGCACTTTATAGTTTTTGATTAGAAGTTTTAACATAGGGGAGCAAGCTCTGGACTTCGCCTTTTGATGTTTGTAATCCAGTTCGGTGAACGGAATAAAGTTGCAAAACACTGTACAACAGCAGGCGCTGAAAAATGAGGATGATGCAGTTATGTCTGTATGAACCCAGTAGAGTTTACTCGTGCAACACGATCAGCCTTTACTTTTGAGCGTGCAGCAGTTGCTCATGTGGTCACGTTCACCTATCATCAGTTTATAGCCAACCACATGCGTATGTAGTAACGTGTTCGATATCGTGATGTATACAAGCAAACCTGACAAGCTAACCTTGATCAGTATGCGCTGTACTGAGCGAGTAGATACCGGCAAGTCGTGGCTTCTTGTCGCTAATTGCCTTGGTCAGCAAGTTTTGAATGGTATGTGCCGCTGATATTTGCCCAATGATGCAATCATACAATTACATAATCTTTAGAGTACTTATGCTGATATGTATAATTTTTTTGTCGCAATGGCATACCTTCTCGCGCCTTTAGCTAAAATCAAGTGTAGTATTTGTCGCAATGGCCAAAGTACTTATTCATATGTGCGGTCCTTTATCGTCTGTGAGATCGCTAACGTTAACACACATTTAGTGCTCCTACCCAATAAAATTACACCCCACATCTTTTTTAATCATCCGCTGATTCGGAAATCTGGTTGAGTAGTGGATAAGAGTGTGAGTGTGCAACATTAACCAGCGCGGAGTTAATACAATTCCACATACAGCATATATCACCTCGCTCACCTTCATCGCGCATCAACATGCCATCGCAAACTAAAAAGATAGTAACTTGACGTCTGAACAGAAGAGGAATCATTGCCGTTGGCATGATACAAACACCACCCTTACACAGTCGCAGCTGGCTAATAAGGCGTAGCGCAAGTTCGTTCTCTTCAAGGCTCCAGTCTAAAGGGACAGACCCCGCATTCTTCATGATCGCCAGATGCTCCTGCACGCTTAGGAAGTCAATTTTAAAAGCAGGCGAACGATGTCGCTTGTGTAACCTGAAGTTGACAAGGCCCTTTCAAACTTGGTGCTGCAGTGTTAAGCCAAGCGCGTGATAGTGATCTGATAAAATCGAGAGAGATTTGGTTTGCCATGTTAAGAGACATCCCGGACGACCAGCTGCTGTAAAATAAAAAGGGTGTTTCAATCGTTTTAGGAATATTTTACACCCATAAGAAACTTACCGAACACCGTGAGAGCGGATCCATGACTCGGAGAAGATACAGCGCAGCGTGACGCCATCCGGGAGCGCTTGACAGGGGCCCCGCTTGTTGATATCTACGGCATGGAAGAAACAGGACTGTTCTACTGCCTCAACCCTAGATAAGACCATCTCCAAGAAACAACTGGAAGGATCGAATAATAGAAATACTTGTGTGATACTTGATCTGATATGAAACGCTAACAGTTCGGACATCCCCACGAGCCGTTCATCATTGGTCGCGCAAAGAAGCCACGCTGTTTTTAGAAAAAAGACGTGGAATCAATTAGGCTACTACTAGCGAAGCAAGGAGTCGGCAACTGATGTCCTGATATGAGATTGGCTGTGTGATCTTGACAACGACATACTCGCTCAAAAACGCCATATCGTTTTTGCGTCGAGTATGCATCGGCGCACACAGCACAAGGCATAGAGCCGAAGATCTTGATAGTATTTATCCTGACGCCAAACACGACCGCAAAGCTTCAGTTCGTAAAAGCCTATATCATTGCCTCATTCAAACGTCGATAACGGCACCTCCAGCTCGAGCAAGCATTATATGTAAAGGACCAAAGGCCGCAGGAAAACATCTGCATGCTCGACCACATTACGGCAATGAAGTGGATCAATCATATGCTGGCATGAGGGTTCAAGCGATGGTTTTCTGAACTTCTTTGTGCACACAGGACTCGTGCTCGGGAATAAGACCACTCGCAAATCACGCATAGTCAATGGTAACCTACTGAGCACCAGTCTGTTTGTACAAATACTTCCGCTATGCATCCGTGACCCGTTAAACCTGGATGACTTCATTTGCTACACCACCGAGGCCAACACAGAGATAGAAGCGCTGAATTCTACAGCCCTGCTCAGCAGAAATGGGGACGCGATTTCCTGCTCGCGGCTCAAGATAGAAGCGACTTAACAGAGTCGAAGCCGAAACGAGATGGCGTCATCAACACGCAGCAAGAGATCAGCGCAAAGAACAAAGTAGACGCAGTCCGGGCCATCATTTTTGTGCTAGTTGACCGTCTAGAAATAGGGAGACTTTCCATGGAAGGAATACGTGCGATTGCGCGAGGTGATGAGGGTATAAAGGAATTGAAACGGGGCACCCTGAAGCTTGTACTGGTGACAGTACAAGCTACTTATTCCGATGACAGAATGAGGCGGTGCCATGTAACTTCACGTACACTCGTACGTGCAGAGGAAGACGGTAAGAAGAAGCGAGTACTTGGTTAAAGTAAAAAGTAGAAATACATTTATAACAGTTAATGTCTGCAATAAATCACTATTTATCTTCATGTAACTATGTCTAAATACAAATGTGTAAATCAGTTATCTGCTCACCACTCATTGCGTGCGTCTGTCGTGGCGCGTCTTCGTTGGTTGATATAATGGCCTATATCAACCAATTAGGAACTACTCGTAAGTGCTACAGAATATTTGTCCTTATGACAATATTCCGAGAATATAACTCTTCTAGTTATAATCTGATAACAATTTCTTATAAATTGTTATGTAACGATTCACCCCGTTACATCACCCCCCCCTTAACCATCAGTCACTTTAGTGACTGATTGACTAAATGGATACTCGTCCCAAATCATTTGGGACAGGGTTTGCACTTGTTGGTCCGCGTCCACTTTCCAACATTTCATCGCATGGTAAACAAGCCCATGCGATGCGCGAGCAAGGCCGCCGAGAGCGCGTCCGCACGTCTCTGTTCGGACGCCGAAGCAGAAACAACAGCAACTGATGTCCCATCGGCCGCTGAAGCGACCCAGCCTGTGTCACTTGGTGATGCAGGCGCTGGTCATGAAGACACTCGTGTCTTCACAGAGTACGAGCTCGGTGTCTCGTACTCTCCTGATACGGATGACGGATCCGTATCGACGGCGATTGAATCTAAGCCGCCTGCCAAGCGTGGCATGGACGATGCTTTGCGTCGCAGCATCTTTGGTTCATCTGATTCATCAGATGAACCATCGCCGAAGCGAAGGCGCTCGAGGTCGCGAGACTCGGGCGCTAATAGTGGTGTCGGTTCTCCTATGGACACCACTTCACAGCGAGGTGCCAGTACTTCTGTCGGCACGTCGCAGGAAGAGCGGGACCGCAATGTGTTGCGTCTCGCTCCTGAGAAGAAGGCATGGATGCCTCCTAAATCAGTCATGGATCACTTGTCGGCGACGACGAGTGATCGTTATCGAACACGGTTGTTCGATTCGTCAAGGGTCCATCACCTTGACCCCAGCGCGAAAAACTATCGCGCTGAACATGACTTCTTCATCGATGCTTTCTTTAGATATCGATGGTACAGTGGGAATCGCAAACGTGATGGTCCCTCACTACTTCAAGCGTGGAACGCCTACATCCATAACCTCGAGGATGTAGGTCGTGACGCTTGGAACGACAAACTTATCAAAGCTCGTGATAAGTTTGAAAAGCGAACCCCGACAGGTGCACGCTACAGCTGCATCGTCTGTCAAGGGAGAAAGGATTACCCTGCCTCTCTTGGGGAGACTCGTGCCCATGTTGTGTGAACAACTCTGCACGAGCACCTAAGGAGGCTTACCTCCTTACCAGCCCGTGGTGGCGCGTACGAGTCTCTACTGAGATGTACGAAGGGATTGACAACCTGAAATCCCTTTACGACCGTGCCGGGAAGACTTTCTCCGGCGGTCCTTCTGCGGCACAGTATGTGCCGCGTCGTACTGCTCAACCAGACCCAGTACGTCGATCATCAGTTGGGAGCGGGGCTCCCAAGAATCCCAGGACGGGGGATAGCCGCGCCACCGGACGAGATAACTCGTCCGACGTCCGTTCACGTCGCGGTGGTTCAACAGCTGCTCAACTAGATAGCGCTGGCCACCACGAGAGTCCTCTAATGCAGGTGGAGGAGGAGGAAAGAAGCTCTCCACACGATCATGTGGATCGGTGTGTTCCTGAGAGCTTCTTTGATCGCGTAACGCAAGGGTTACGCGACGATCTCGAACATGAGCGGAATAGGCGTCTCCAAATGGCGGACACTGCCTCGAAGCATCGAGCTGAGTTTGCCTTTGCTCAGCTTGAGAACGAGAGATCTCTGACATCTCTTCGTGACGAGCTAAGGGTAGCTCGTGGGATTGTTGATCCGTCTCGGGCTGAGATAACTGCTCTTCAGACCCTTGTTGATGCCCACCATCGGGAGCACAAGGCTCTCTGCGAGATGCTTGAGCGCAAGGGCGTTCTTCATCGGAAGAAGCAGCGTACTGATGGTACGGCTTAAGCCGACCAACGTAAAACGTGGGATGCGTTCGCATCTTACGTGGTAACTCGATCGTGTATGCATTGCCTAGGCGGTGCAATACACGAAATGGGCCAATGTACTTGGGTAGTAGTTTACTGCTACCCAAGTTAGTCACTACATGCTTTGGTAGATTAACCGTAGACAGTAGGACTAAGTCACCTTTATTAAATAAAAGAGTGTTCGCCCTTCCATTCTTGTCGGCGTTTTGCTTTTGCTTATCCACCGCTTCGGCGATGGAGTCTTGCACAAAACGGACTACCGTTTCACGAGCCAGTATGAACTCATCTGATGACTCGTTAGCTTCAGTGTGCTGTGAGCGCACTGCAGCAGCATCAACCTTTTCTTCAGTGAGGGCTTCCGCACTCTCACTGGCATCATCTTCTTCGATATCGATGTTATCGATATCGGCATTAAACGCAATGACTTTCTCGTCAGGGCGTGATGAGCGTGAACCAAATCGGTTTTTGCTCGCGCGAGTCCCTCCCCCCCTTAAAACAGAGTTACACTAGAGTAAGGTGGGTACACGCGGATGGCGCAATCCATTCACGTAAAACGGTGTATGTGACGTGGACGCATGCACCGAGTTGTTGATGGCAAACTCTACCATTGGCAAAAACTCACTCCAACTGTTAAATGAGTGTACGTATCCTCGAAGTATCTCTTCTAGGACACGATTGGCACGTTCCGTCTGACCATCTGACTCTGGATGGTCAGATGTTGACACTTTCAAGCGCGTTCCGAGTGATTTGAACACGGAACGCCAGAAATCAGCAGTGAAGCGTGGATCTCTGTCTGATACGAGTTCACGGGGCAACCCATGAAGTCGGAAGATGGTGTCAATAAAGACACAAGCACAGCCACTTGCCGTGATTGTCTCTGGTACAGCCACAAGGTGTACCATTTTGCTGAATCTGTCAACAAATACGAGAATACCCGTATTCCCGCGTGCGTCTTTGGGTAACCCGAAGACAAAATCCATTGAGATGGATTCCCAGCACTCAGCCGGAACCGGTAGAGGCTGTAAAGGTGCACGCAGTGAAGGACTTGACTTCACTCGTTGGCAGACTTCGCATGCGCGAACATACTTTCGCACAAACTGATACTGGCGGGGCCAGTAAAAGTCTCGACTTACCGTGAGATATGTTTTCTCTCGACCAAGATGTCCTCCTATAGAAGCATCGTGATACTCGAACATGATCCGCAAATGCAGATCAGTATCATCTGGAATGACAACACGTGGTGTGTCACCAGTAACGGCTGTATAATACAGTAAACCGTTACGAGTAGTGTATCGATCTGATGCAGATCGATACGCAGACGACAATCATTTCAACGATTCTCGAGATGGTTGGGAGAGATGTGTCAACAACTTCACTATCTCACCATCTTGGGCGTATGCCCGCCTCACATCACCATACAACGTTGTAGATGGGACTGAGGACGTCATAACCGCAACAGTGACTGTCTCACTGTTGGGTTTCGCGACTGGTTCAAAGTCGGGACGACGTGAGAGTGCATCAGCGACGACATTAAGTCGTACTGGTTTGTACTCGACCGTAAAGTTGTATTCCGCAAAGAATGACAACCACCGCGCCATTCGTTGTGAAAGGTGCGGGCTGTTCACTGCCGTGCGTAATGACGCATGGTCAGTGTAAACAACGAAGGGTATATCTCCTAATAGATAGACTCTGAACTTCGCGAGTGCATACTTCATGACAAGGAGTTCCTTGTCATGCACTGGATAGTTCCACTCAGCTGGTTGCAGCTGACGCGACTGATAGCAGACGACGCGTTCAACGCCTTCAAGATCGTACTGCATTAATGCACAGCCGATTGCGAAATCGCTGGCATCACAGACCACATGAAATGGCCTGTCCTGATCGGCTATTGCTAGGACTGGGGATTGTATCAAGCTCTGCTTGATACCATCAAAGGAGCGCTGACATTCAGCGTTCCATAACCACCTCTCGTTCTTTTTCAACAAACGAGAGAGGTGCACAGTCATCTCGGAGTAATTGCGTGAATACTTATGCAAATACGCCGCTAGCCCAATGAATTTTTGAAGACCTTTGACATCAACCGGCACAGGCCAGTCGGTGATCGCCTTGATCTTTTCGGGATCAGGACGTACACCGTTCTTACCAACGATGCACCCAAGAAGTGGTATTTCGCTTGCTGCAAATATACACTTCTTGAGGTTAGCATACAATTGATGCTTTCGCATGATTGTAAGAACCTGTCGGACGTGGTACCTGTGAACCTCAACATCCGACTTTCCATCCATAGCTCGACTATGGACGAATACGTCATCGAAATAACTCGGCGCGAATTCTCGTACTGGTCTCAACAGATGTGATACACATCTGTTGAACGTGGCAGGGGCATTACTAAGCCCTTGTGGCATTACTAGCCGTTCCCAGAGCATGCCGCTAGGCGTGCTCACTGCGGTATAGGGTATATCCCGTTCTCGCATAAGGATTTGATAGAATCCATCCAACAGATACATGGACGAAAAGATGGTACTCTTTGACATACCATCAATGATTACGTCCTTCCTCGGTACCGGCGTCTGAGCCGGTACCGTTGCAGCATTCAATTTGGTGAACGCGTGCACTATCCGCCACCCTCCTGTTGCTTTTCGCACACAGAAGGTCGGAGAGCTATGTGGGGAAGTTGATTCCCTCACATGGCCCGCTGCAAAAAACGATCGCCAAAGAACTTGTCGATCGCAAGTACTTGTTCACGAGGCAGTGGCCACTGCTTCATGACACAGTACTTCGAGCCTGGTTTAAGCTCGACCTCGTGTCGAATACCTTTATCCTTCAGTAATTCGCACGGAACAGTTTCAGGGAATACATCCTTGAATTCAACCAAATCTTCATAGAGAGGATTTGTCTTGAGCGATTCCCACGATTGGGAGTCATCTCGCTCAATTCGTGTGTTTTCATCTAGGACACTCTCGTCCATAGATGAACTACTGAGAACTCTCTCGTTCTCAGTGAACACTGTTGCTGACCTTATGTCGGTTACACACTCGTCGTCAGCGACGAGTATGCAGATCTGCTTGACTTTGCCACTACGCAGATCACGCAAGAACCTTTTTTGTTCGAGCGTTGGCAACTGAGTGATCTCCGAAGTCAACTTCGGAGGCGCAATCAGATCAAGTGTATAAGCGCCTACACTTGATCCGTTATTGACTATGACATTCAATGTCTCTGTCATTTCCTGGGGACTTATTCCCTCAGGCTTCGAAGGACTTATTCCTTCGGCTTCCCGGGGACTTATTCCCGCGGGTTTCGGGGAATTTATTTCCGCCGTATTTGTAATCTTGGGACTTATTCCCTTTACTTCCTCTAGCTGTGGTTGCGCAACCACAGCGAGATCCTCTACGAAAGACTCTCCAGTCGATCTAGGATTATCGTTTCGCTTAAGCTGAGCGATCTATTGTTTCTCTTCTAGATGGTCCCCGCTAAGGATACATCTTTGTCCCAGTCCACCCGACTTATTCGAGTGGTGGACCTTCGGCACAGCCTGCGTTTCCTCACAGCCGCCGGAACTTTGCTCCGAAGTGTAACCGTTTGGTATACTAAGGTTTTGTGCAGTCGTACTAACGACCGTACCACAAGTGAGGCCATCGCACTCACTCGTAGTACATCCACACGCTTGTGGACGCTCCAAAACGTTCATCAGATGGCCATCTGATGAACAAGCGGCAGGCATCGTTACTGTCCGATGTTGCCAGTTTACCCGTGGTTCGTACCTTTTGAGCCACGGTATTCCAAGGATGACATCAAACTTGTCATCCAAATCCAATACGATAAAGTCATCGTCATATTGGGGTATCTTCTAGCGTATAGTGGATCTTCACTATACGCTTCATGACGGTTACGGATGCGCCTGTCGCAAGACGTACCGTCATCCTCGTAGGAGGTGTGTCACATTCACTGAATTTAAAGTGACCATCTTCTAGCGATTGGCGTCGCAAAAAATTGTTGGACGCCCCACAATCGACTAGAGCTCGAAGGGACAACTCATTTGTCACTTCGAGTTTCAAGGTAATGAGTGAGACCTCATTACCTAGAGCAGCAACGCACAACGTTTGTGTGTTGGGAGCAACCTTCATCAAGAGGCCTACAAATTCTCTTGACGTTGCTAGACCAGTAGGGTGCTCCGCACCTACTGATCCTGTCCGTTTTTTGACGGTCCATCCCGTTGTTGCGTCTTTGCACCAACTGCGGACCCTCGTCCCTGCCCCTTTCTCATGGGTGGACGGTCACTACGCCCAGTGTCGCGAGACACTGGACGAGGGGCACTACACTCGTAAGCGTAGTGTCCTGTCTTTTGACATCTGTTGCATCTCTGCAACTTCTTGTAGCCTGTAGAGCGAGCCTTCTCGCTCTCTACATAACAGAGTTCCATCGGCTCTGGACCTCCGCTTTCATACTGTCTCGGCTGACGATATGATGTCGAGCTGGCGCGAGCCTGTCTCAGACTGAAGTCTTCCTGTTCCGCAATGGAAATGGCTTGCTCTAGTGAATCTAGTTCAAGCCGGAACAGGTGAGTCTTGGCGGGACCATCCGCAAGACCTTGCATGAACACCGAAACCAACGTGTGTTCATCAACCGGATTGGAACTTATACAACTCGTAAGATGTCGTGTATGTTGCGCGTAAGCGTGCACATCACACTTACCCTGTTTGAGCTTCAAGAGTTCGGTTCGAGCGCTGAACTCAGCTCTAGGCGGTTCAAACGTTTGTCTGAGCCGCGACTTGAAGACTTCCAACGACCCAAACGAATATGGGTCGTGCAACTTGAGCCCCAGTGCCCAAGTCTTGGCACGTCCTGCCAGATTTGACTGGGCAAATGCAACTTGCATATCCCCGTCGTCGATGCGACGCGCCCTTATGGCGTCATCCAATTCGACGAACCATCTCAAGAGGGAGTCCTCTTCGACTCCCCTATACTTGGAGATGTCAATCT